AAGTAGTGCTTGTATACCCTCGTGGCCAGAGCGACGGGGTCCTCCTCATCCTGGAAGCCTAAGCTGACGGGGCCGAAGTGGGTGAAGTTCTCCTCGAGGGCGCGCACCATGCTTTCTCCCGAGAACAGAGCTGCGGTCGAAGGGAGAACCAAGGCGCGTGTTTAGATCTGTTTCTCTCCCCCCCCCCCCAAGGAAGATCTTGCCCCCCCCCCTGGAAGGTTTTCCCATATAAAACCCAAACCTTTTTAACTTTCTCTTACTAATTTACATCTATGTGGGTCTAGGTATAGATGAAAAATGTTCCTGGAATAAATCCTTTTTTTTCTAAATTTACCTTCTAGAAGCTGAAATGACACTCCTGTGTATGAATACATGTCTATAAACTTATATCGATTTTGATGGAAACTGGTAAGGGATTTCTTGTTAGATTATTTCTAGTGTTATTGTGGTTAACATCTTATTATCATTCTAAAAACGACATTGAAGATTATAATAGTAATTATGATAGTAATAACAATGATAACAATGACAATTATTATCATTAATATCTTTGTCATCATAATAATTATTTTTATTATTATGGCTATCATTATCATTGTTGTCATTATTAATATCATTGCTATTACTATTATCAGTATTAATAATACAAGGGCAAAAAAGAAAGAGAGAGAGAGAGAGAGAGAGAGAGAGAGAGAGAGAGAGAGAGAGAGAGAGAGAGAGAGAGAGAGAGAGAGAGAGAGAGAGAGAGAGAGAAGGAAAGAGAATGAACGAAATATATAGATAGATAGATAGAAAAAGGAGTAAAAAAGAAGAGAGAGAGAGAGAGAGAGAGAGAGAGAGAGAGAGAGAGAGAGAGAGAGAGAGAGAGAGAGAGAGAGAGAGAGAGAGAGAGAGAGAAGGAAAGAGAATGAACGAAATATATAGATATATAGATAGAAAAAAGGAGTAAAAAAGAGAGAGAGAGAGAGAGAGAGAGAGAGAGAGAGAGAGAGAGAGAGAGAGAGAGAGAGAGAGAGAGAGAGAGAGAGAGAGAGAGAGAGAGAGAGAGAATGATAACAGACTCCCCCCGCCCATAAATAAGCTCATAACTTAGACTAACGATAGGTAACCATCCCCCCTTCGTCCTCGTGACTCCGGCCATGATGTCGACGCGGTTGTACTTCCCTCGCCGCATGAGGGTCGCTGGCTCGTCGGGGAGGAAGTCGCCGTCACGCGGACCATCCGCACGGGGAAGATGAACCACTCCTGAGGACACGACAGGGGAAGTGAGGAAGGCATTGGCGGGGCGGAAGAGTAGGCGGGGCGAATGGAGGAAAATGGTCGTTTTGATGGTAGTACCGATGCGTTCGTATGGATGTTTGTGGTTGTTTCGTGTTCTCTCTCTCTCTCTCTCTCTCTCTCTCTCTCTCTCTCTCTCTCTCTCTCTCTCTCTCTCTCTCTCTCTCTCTCTCTCTCTCTCTTCTCTCTCTCCTGCATGCGGATGAATGAAAAGATAAAATGAATAAATAAATAAACACACAGAGTTTCCAAATATATGATTGCATGGAACAAAAATAAAACGCCTTAGTAAACAGAAAATAATAAAAAGACTTGCCGTGAAGTTCTTCACGGCCGACGCCACTTCCTTGCCGTCGGTGAGCTGCATGCAGAAGGTGACGTCCTTCGTGAGGATGCACTTGGGGCAGCGGACGACGCGGCTGGTGAGGAAGGCCCCCTGGCGGAACTTCTCGCCCACTGCCACGGAGCGAGACCGACCCGACTGCAGGATGGCGCGGAGCGAACAAGCCTGGAGGAGAAGGAGCGGAGGATTTGGGTGAGGAAATGAGGACGGGGAAGAAGGGACGATGAGGGTCGAGTCGATGGTCAGGAGGTCAGGAGGAGTCTGGGTCCGTTGGTCTGCCTTTGCAGGAGATGCGCTCTCCTCTTCTTTCTTTCTGGTGTATACTTCGACTCAACCAATCTTTAGTATTTTATGGCATTAAAGGTGTATACAATATCACCCTTAGACTGTACATGACATTACGAAAATGAAAATAGCCACAATGAGAATTTAAAATCATCGTAACGTTTCGAACTCTTCACGAGTTCCTCTTCAGACAAAACCGAAATGGTAAAATTTTGTCTGAAGAGGAACTCGTGAAGAGTTCGAAACGTTACGATTATTTCCAATTCTCAATGTGGCTATTTAATTTTAACTTTTGTGTACACGTTACTGTGTTTGTGCTTCTGTTCGTATAACATTACCTTAAGACTGTATATATAATATCATCGTCAGATCTTAATCAAACTTTTTCTGGGTCTTTATATCAGTTTCAATTCCAGTGTGGAATTTTACGGCGATCTTTACATCTGGTTATAAACTGGATATTTTTTTTTCTGTTCTTCCTCTCTCTGAATCTGCAATCCACCCACACTTCCTTTGTCAGAGAGCGCATACGCAATAGGGCATACTGACGACATACTTTGATGGACAGGAAAATCCTCGAAAAAACACAGGAATCTTATCCTATTTGTTACTTTGTGATAAACCAATTGCTAAACGAAACTATCAGTTGCAAAGTAAACCCATTTAGATTTGCTTTTCTCTTCCCTGCGCCCCGCTTCGCAGAACGGGCTCCCACCTTTGGACATGGGCGACAGCACGTGGAGGTGGACGGAGGCGCCGCCCGCGCTCTCCCCGAAGATGGTGACCCTGTCGGCGTCGCCCCCGAAGCTGTGGATGTTCTCCTGCACCCAGCGGAGGGCCATGACCTGGTCCTTCATGCCGAAGTTGCCAGGCATGACCATGTCCTCCGTCGACATGAAACCTACGCAGGGGAATTAAAGCGATCTTTAGTATCAATCCTATCAAATTGGAAAAAAAATCGCTTAAACCACTGAGTTTTGACAGGGCCACGACGGAGCGCAGTCACACATATAATTTGCGTTATGTAATTCATAGCTGTACATGTTTTGGCAAATAATTCATACGAATCTGATTGTGAATCTGACTCTGGAAGGCCAAGGCACGCGAGGCAGCAGGGAGACGCTACTTGCCTAGAGTTCCCAGTCTGTATTGGATCACAACCAGCACTATGTCGTGGTTCATGAGGACGTGCGGCAGGTACTCGTGGGCGCCGCCGACGAAGAAGGCGCCGCCGTGGATGTACACCATCACCGGAAGCTTTTCGTCGGGTTTCTTCTTCTGCGGAGGACGGGACGGGGGCAAAATAGAGCTTCCTTCAGTCAAGCCTTTTATGTGTAGTTTGAAGTCCATACACACTAGCATAAACAAACACACACCACACACACACAAACACACACATAAAACACACAACACAAACACACACACACACAAACACGCACATAAACACACACACAAACACACACCACACAAACACACACACATAAAACACACACACACACAAACACACATAAACACACATACACACACACACCCTGCACCTCCCCCTCCGAGCCCACCTTAGGCGTGAAGACGTTGAGATAGAGACAGTCCTCTTCTCCCACAATGTCGTCGAGCGTGATAGGGAGGCCCAGGAGCACGTGGTCGACGGGCACTTGGACACAGGGCGGGGGCATCTTGGACCCGTCCCTCGTGCCCACCCACTTGTCCGCCCGCACGGGATCCTGAGGGCGTGGAAGAAGTGATAATATTGGACCTTAAGCTGTGTCGATGCGGTCTTTTTGGTCTTTCGTGAGGACACAAAGGACAAAAGAATAGCTGGAAGAGATTCGCCTTCTGGAACAGAGGGTGAATGATCAATATCTATTTGTAGATTATCTGACGTTTTTTTTTTTTTTTTTTTTTCTCGTCCCTCTCCCTCTTTTCTTTTCTTTTTTTCTCTCTCCCTCCTTCCTTCCTCCCGTACCTTGAGCTTGAGCTTGTCCAGAGGAGGCTTGGCGTAAGGAATGCCGTAATACGCGAAAAAATCCCGTCCTTTCGCCGACCGCTCGTTCACGCCAGACACACGGCCGTCGGGCAGCGACACCACGGGGGCGCGCTGACACCTGCTGACAGCGCTGCCAAAGCCACGAGGGCGTACAGGATCTCCATTCTGTGCAGAAAAAAAGAAGAAAAAATACGTAAGAAGATAAGATATGAATGGAAGGAGAGAAATTACCAAGGAGAGAAATGATGGAGATAGTTGGAGAAAGGATAAAGTAAGGAAGGGAAGTGATAGAGATTGGGGGAGAAATTAAAGGGACAAGGAGAGAAATGATAGATACAAGGCGAGAAATGCTAGAGATAGAGAAATTACAGAAATTAGGGGGAGAAATGATAAAGAAAGTGTAGTGAACTCTGAAGTTCACCTGTTCATTTAATTATTTTTTTAATCTTAATTAATTCTATGCCTTTCGTTAGGAGCTATATGCCTTTTATCTGTGTATTTTTTTTTTTTTTGTATTTTTATATCCTTTTTATCGTGTTTTATCTTTTTACCGTGTTTTATGTCTATATCTTTGCGCATTAATTTACTGACTTCTTTTTATTCTTTTTACTGCGTTTTATGTCTATATATACACTTTGTTTGTCACCTGTTTCACGTTCAGCCAATCACGAACCACCAGCTCTGGGGGGGTGTTTCACGTACCCCATCTTACCGCCAAATTCGGCAGTTCACCTTGACCCTCGGAGCTGGCTGGACGTGTGGCCTCCCGCCTTTTTACGTGTTTTATTGTGCTTTTTGTGTTGCTTTTAGTCTTTTAATAAATATTTCAATAAACCGGCAAGTGCTACGAGTGTTTCTGTTCATCCCGTTAATTGTGATTTACACTGAAAATAGATTTCCAGCCCCAGCTCAAGGTGCGCTCACCCGGTGATCTACCGAACAGGTGGTTCACTACAAAAGGAAGAGAAATTATGGAGATAGAGAAACGATAAAGAAAGGAAGAGAAATTATAGAGATAGAGAAATGGTAGAAATTGGGGGAGAAATGATAAAGAAAGGAAGAGAAATGATAGAGATAGAGAAACGATAAAGAAATGAATATAAACGATAGAGATAGAGAAATTATAAAGAAATGAAGATAAACGATAGAGATAGAGAAATGATAAAGCAAGGAAGAAAAATGACAGAGATAAAGAGGTAAGCACTTTTAGATAAACCGAGAGGCTAGCGCAGATAAGGAGCATCTCAGCGCACCGTCTTTATCTCCGCCTCCTCTCCTCCTCCTCCTCCTTCTCCTTCTCCTTCTCCTTCTCCTCCTCCTCCTCCTCCACGTTCTCCTGCTGTCCTCTTCGGCGGCCTCGGTCATGACCTTTGACTCGTGTCTACATGGGCGGGCGTGCACTCAGTCACATCTACAAGTAGGGTTGTATGCTTTCATAGGCACAGATGCGCTTCTACATCTATCCATCTAGCAAGCTATCTACACACACGCAGACGACTCTCTCTCTCTCTCTCTCTCTGGCTCTCACACACAAACACACACACACACATACTCCTTTCCTCTCTGTCTCTCTTCTGTCTGTCTCTATTTCCTCCCCCCTCTCCCTCTCTATCTATCTATCTCTCACTGTTTTCCTCTGTGTCTCTCTCTTCGTCAATCTGCCTCAATTTCCTCCCCCCATCCCTCCCCCCCTTTTTCTCTCTCCCTCCTATCCTCTCTGTCTCTCTCTTCGTCTATCTGCTTCTATCCCCTTCTCCCCCCCCCTCTCTTCACTCATTTACTCCTTTTCTCCCTGTTTCTCTCTCTTCGCCTATCTGTCTTAATTTCCTTTCCTCGCTCTCTCCCCCTCTCCCTGCCTCTCCACCCTCTCTCTTTGTATCTCTTTCTCATTCCCTCCCCCGTCTCTCTGTCTCTCTCTGTCTCTCTCTGTCTCTCTCTCTCCCTGTCCACCCTCTCTCCTTGTATCTCTTTCTCATTTCCTACCTCTCTCCATCTCTCTTTCCTTTCTCTCTCCATCCCTCCTTACCTTTCTCTTTCTCTGTCTCTTTGTATCTTTCTCTCTCCTTCCCTCCCCCCCCCCAGCTCTCTCCCTCTTTCTCTGTCTCTTTATATCTCTCTCTCTTCTTCCCTTCCTCCCTTTCTCTTTGTATCTCTCTCTCTCCTTCCCTCCCTCTTTCTCTGTCTCTTTGTATCTCTCTCTCTCTTTCCCTCCCTCCCCTCTCTCTTTGTATCTCTCTTTCTCCTTCCTTCCCTCCTTCTCTGCCTCTCTCTCTCTCCTTCTCCCCCTTCCTCCCCAACGACATACCATAATCATGCTTGCATGGGCGTCATGCCCGCTTGTGCCCGCGTGGGTCCCTCTTGGGCGATTCTAAATATACGCTCCGTGGACGCCGCCGCTTGTGCCCGCTTGGCGTGGGCGCATGCAAGCGGGCGAGCGGCGACGTCCACGTGGAGCGCGTGAGGGACCCACGCGGGGACAGACGGGCGCTCACGTAAGCATGATTATAGTATGCCACATTACATAGCATACTGCTTAGCATATTGCATCGTGCAAGCTCCATGCTGTTCCAATCTGGCAGTCATTATGGAGGGGCTCCTCCCTCACTCCCCCTCCGGCTAAGCATACAACTTGACTTGACCTGGCATTTCCTGCGTCGAGGACGCGCCCAAGGGTGACCACCTCAGGTCACACAGAGACGGCCTGACCTCCGGCCGTGGGGACCTCCGCTCAACCTCCGCGCGGCTGTCCTCGCCAGGGCTTGCGACTGCGACTGCCACCATCACTGGCCAGTCTCTCGTATCGTGTTTATTTCTACTCGTGTAACTCTTAAGAATAAAGAGTAAGCCGTTTCGTGTCACTTCTTTCAACCAGTATCAATGTAGAAGGTCTTATCTCTTATACCCTCCCTCCCACTTTCTCCACTCCCCCCTCTCTCTTGTTGCGTCTTATCTTCAGATGACCCTTATCTCATTTATGTAACAGAGATAAAGGAGATCAAGATCTTCGGGGCTTTGGAGATAACTTTACAACAGTAAAATATGTTTTCTTGCGACTTTTAGGTGTACCCGTTATGAATATAAAGTAAAGATGGATGTACATTTCGAGGAAAAATATAAATGTGCTATTTTTTATTTCTTTCTTTACATATAATTTGTGACTGACTCTTTTTATGCCTTTCAATATTATACTGCTTTGGCAGCTACGATAAAATATAATGAGAATTACATTACAACTGAAGTAATTCATAGACTGGAGTAGAAATCCTCCATTTTAGATGAGAGATTTGACCTTAGCACACTTCAGTATATACTATGACTTAGGTACTCCTAAACACATATGTAAATAAAGTATAGTCGTTGCATTTTTGAAATCGGAACACTACCATGAAATGATAATAAATATTAACTCTAGTGTATACCGTGCAAGAAAAACGACAATATATTTTTTTATTCCTTTACATAACTAGTGTATATGAACGAGATGCACGAAGGCTATTTTTGTAGCATGACAACAAAAGTAAACACCATAGCAGCCTGCCCTCTCCTTGAACATATTTAGCATCAGTCTTATTACTTAATAAACAAACACACGTACACAGACGTGCCAACTTTTAGCAAGATTCGCAGAATTATTGACCGAGACAAACGCCCTCTTGAGAGACCTTCATATGTGTAGACTGACAATATTTGTCTCCTCTTAAAGATCTTTGGGTCTGGTTCATCTGCATATCATCACTTGGGGTCGCTACACACACACACATATGTTTGTGAAAGCGCGGAGTATCCCATCATTATAATCGTAACTAGTTATATTCAAATATTTGAGTGGCATATACATTAGCCAGGTGCACTATATTCTCCCACGACGAATGACCCAAAACATCATTCCCAGAAGAATCTTCCAGCATATCTTTAGGGTAAAAAGTGAAGCAAAATGTTCTCCATGAGCAACTAATGCTATCTCTACCATGCTCCCAACTCTACCAATTCTTCATGCTCCTCATTTCTCCTCTTCTACATTACCTCCCTGACTCCCTGTTTCCTTTGCTTGGTCGGGTTCTTGTCTGAATAAGACACACGCCGATCCTTTTCGATATTGACGTACTCGACATAAGAGCAAGAAAGTCGTTTCCCTTGATCTATGGATAACATACGCACATAAATGCATATATAAAATAACACACACACACACACACATATTTGTTTATATTTATAAACTAACACATATATATACATACAGATAGACAGGGGTAAGGAGAGAGTTGTGGAAGTTGTGGAAGCCAAAATACACGACAGGATCTAAGACTCCTGTCATCAGATAAAGAATAAATCGAAAATGAAATGTATGAATATCTTTTCCTCCGCGTTGATGCTAAAAAAAAAACTTTTAAGCGAAAACTAAAAGCCAGGACCGGTTTAAATGCAACATTATACCAGTATATCTTACTTTTATCTGCACCAAATGTATGGGGACTTAAATCCATTCCTCATTACGCCACGATCTCACAGAAAGCCGTTAAAAGCTAATTTACCGACAAGGCTTACGTACCAGTCCTCATAACAACGGTGGTTAAAGGGTAAAACAAATACTCGTGGCAGACATCAAGGTCATTTAACACTATGGTAAGGTACAACAGCGTCAAGGGTTAAGGATCGAGTTAATGATTAAGGTAAACTTAAAGGTTGAAGAGCACCAGAGGAATAGTATGGTAGTGAGAAGGGTAAAGAGGGGAGCTAATGGGGTAAAATGTAAGGTAGAGAGATCCCCCCATTAACAAGCAATCAAAACAAACAAGCCACGAACACCATAATCCCATATAACGAAACCTCCTTTATGAATACCCCCTCTGCCCCCCCCCCCCAAAAAAAAAAGAAAAAAAAATCAGAACGACCTAACAACCCACGAACGCCTTAACCAAATGTAAAAAAACCTCCTTATGAATACCCCCCTCCCCCCCCCCAAAAAAAAAAGAAAAAAAAAATTAGACGACCTCAAATTCAACCCCACCGAAGCCCCAAAGCCGAGAACAAGCCACGCCATAGTTCAAAAGCCGAGGAACGACCAACCTGGAGCGGCTTCCAGTGATAGCGAGAAGTGTCGTCCTCTCGCTGTTCTAGGCTGAGCGTCACTGCCAGACGTGTTAATGTAGATTCGCAGTGGGTCTCTCTCTTCTCTCTCTCTCTCTCTCTTTCTCTCTCCTAGCAACACAGCTTTCGTTTTTTATGTGTGTAATCTAGATGAGGCACTTCAGCTTTTTTCATTTGTTTTGATTTTTTCGATTTATGTACGTTTTTCTTTCATACATTTTCTTACTGACCTTGCTTGTTTCAACTTTTATACTTCCAAGTAATTGCTCAAGTTTTCATTCTCGTCTCTTTCGAATTCTGGTTCGAATTCATCTATTTATGTCTCTGTATCTATCCGGCTATTTTCCCTATTTGTTTATCTCTATATGTACATACATATACACACGGACGCATACAGTATCCACTTATCTATCTGTCTAACTATCTACTTATCACTCTATCAAGCAATCAATTTATCTATCAATATATCCACGTACACACACGCACACTGTATGAGTGCTCTCTCTCTCTCTCACACACACACGCTTTCTCTCCACCCCCCACCTCTCTCTCTCCTGTCTCTCTCTCTCTTCCCTCCCTCTCTCTCTCCCTGTCTCTCTCTCTTTCCCTCCTGTCTCTCTCTCTTTCCCTCCTCTCTCTCTCTCTCTCTCTCTCTGTCTCTGTCTGCCACACACCCTCCACCCCCGCTTGTCACGAAGGACCTTCTGGAGGGGCATTCTGCAGGGTTTGTTTGCAGCCCCTCATGCAGCACAGGCGACGCTTGGCATTGCGCGGGCACGAGGGCGGCGGCGGGGCTCAATGCACAGCCGGTGAGCGTGGAGTGAGGGAGTCAGGTACGTTGGTCAGCCCAAGACAGATTTTTTTTTTTGGTAATTCGTCCTCGTGTTTGGTTGCTGTCGTTGTTATTTTTGTTATTGTTATTTTTTTTTGGTCGTCGTTGTCATTGCAGGTTCGGTGCCTGTGGAGTAGTCAGTAGGTAGTAGGTTATATTTATTGAACGTTTTTATTATTTATTATTATTA